AACAGATATAAATGTAATGAATCTATGAATTATAAAACAAACACGAACTAAATCGTAAATAAAAATATAAAGCAGACGTCTGGAGTTTACAATTTGCTTTGGGGATGCTCCAAAGTCCAAGATTTTTGGATTCATATTCATACTGTAGTAGAGAAGGTTGTAGGCCAAGGGGTGCCATTTATGAACAGTCTTTATGTAGTAGGAGACCCTTCAGCTTTGAGTCACTTACCCACTCCTCTTGCTCATTGGGTACAAATGGCTATTATACTGGGGAGGAAGCTGTTGGTGACAGAGTGGAAGGCCCCATCGACTCCTACCTTCTCTCAATTCTATATTTCTCTGGGACAAGTGGCAGCTTGCGAAAGATTATCATATAGGCTGCTAAATAGACTGGACGACTATGATGATAAATGGGCCAACTACCTTTCATATACAGGTCAGTGACGTATCCGGCTAAAGTAGTTAAGGTCGGACTAAATATGATAGCTGTAATTGGGTCTATGTGAAATATTGGCATCGTTGTGTATTTACTTTATTTTGGATTTTGTTTTTTTGCATGAGAATATGTATTGATTCTCAATTTGTTTTGTTGTTGTGACTGGGAATGTCCATTCTGTTATCTTCTGTTGTTTTGGGTTTGTTTTTTTTTGTTTTTTTGTTGTTTTTGTTTTTTAATATTAAAATCTAATAAAGTTTGAGTCATAAAACCCCCCCAAAAACTAATAGCCTGGTGTTTCTATGCATGTACTCCCAAATCTAGAGAAAAGGTTGCATTTGCTGTGTATAATATCTTACGGTGGTAGATCAATACTATAAAGCCTATACAGTTTAACGAATGTATCACTGAGCAGTACTGAAACAAGCTTTACTCTCCACATGACATATACTAAAAATAACAATAAATAATTCAGTACTGTTCAATAAATATATGTATATATATATATAGAAAAACCTAATCCATATCTGTTTACATACTTTAAGTGTCTTTTTTCTTGTTTAAAGCAGGAAAAAGCCCAGCAAAAATATAAACACAAATAAATTACAGTGTCCCCATCCTTTAGCTGATCTCAAACCAGCCTTCAGACTCAGCATCGACATGCTTGTGCAAATGCTCCCCAAGGAAAAACAACACGGTTGGAACCACGAAATTGAGGTGCTTGTAACCATTTACTGGCTGGCCTGTGTAGCCTCATACAGAGTGACGGCATCTTATTGCCTTCCCGGCAAAGAGGCATTCCGTTGCACAGCTGGTACAATTGATGGATGCCATATCCGGATTCGTCCACCTGGGGAACCACATCAGGTCCTACATCAATAGGAAACTGTTCCCCTCTCTTGTGCTGCAGGGCATCTGTGACTCCAAAGGTACATTCCTAGATGTGTACATTGGTAATTGCGGATCTGTGCATGATGCACTAGTACTGCGAAGATCCCCAACTTACAAACAGGCCCTCTATCCACCAGCAGGCTTCTTCCTCTTGGGAGATGGAGGATACCCATGCCTTAAGCACCCAGTGGCAATATTGAGCCTATATTGTCAGCCTGTGTCAAGTAAGAACATAATTCCCTTTTCATTACACCTACAAACACAGAGTAGTGCTACATCAGTTACTGTGAAGCACGCAGAGCTTTAACAGAACAAATGCAATATTATAATTCTACCTATTACACTAATTGAAAGTTTACTAAGCACTTAATAAAAGTACGTACTGTTTTTCTTTTAAAACTCAGAGGTAGAAAAGTTCAATCGGTACCATGCTAAGGCCAGACATCCTCAAAACATACTGGCGCTCCATCTTCTTACGAGCCCTTGAGATTCGGCCTCTGTTTGCTCCCAAAGTTGTGGGGGCCTGCTGCATCTTCCAAAATATCTGTTTGGCAACAGATGACGTCTGCCATGAAGAAGGAGAGGAGGAAGGGGGTGGCACAAGCAGGACCCGAAGCCGAAACAGAAGGCACAGGCGCAGACACGGAGCTTTCAGGAACTTGTATTCGAGCCAGGCTTGCTGCACAACTGTCTGCTCCTGAACAGCTGCCTGCATGTCTGTTTGAACATAACTACATCTAGGTAAAGGTTTCATTTGTAAGATGTAGTCATGCCTTATCAGAAAAAGTTAAATTCAAATCATATTTTTTTACTAATTAGTGTTTGTTATTAGTTAAATTAAGTTAATTAGTTAAAATCCATCTTTATTTGTTCAAATTGTAAGTAGTGTGCATTAGTGTTCTTTTTTTGTATATTTTTTATAAACCTCAACCTATATAACCGTGTGTTCACGGTTATATAGGTTGAATCCAATGTTAAATGTTATTGTAAGTGTTACACTTGTTTAAATGATTTGTTTTACTTTGACTAAAGAGATTTCCCAGTTACACAGGAAGCAAAAAAAAAAAATAATTTTTGACATGTAAAGTGCTTTATTTAAAAATTTTCAGTTTTTCATTTTCATTTTTTCAAATAGTGACATATATCGCTCTGCCCTTTCAGTAGCTGCCCTCTCCCTCTCTTTCTCCCTAGCCAGAGCCGCTCTCTCTCTTTTTTCCTCTCTTTCCACCTGGTCTTTTAAAAATTGTAGTATAGCCTGGCTGTCCCCGGGCCGCTTCCTCTGGCTCTTCCTCGACACTTCTGTAGAAGGGGATGAGGCCGGAGTGCTGACTGCACCACCTGTAGTGGATGTCAGGTTTGCTGCAACTACCAGGGGTGGACTTATTGAGTGTTGCCCCTGGAGCACAGCATCCATCATTTTGTACCACTGCCAGGTGGTCCTCTACACCCTTGCCTGTTGGTGGGTCTTTAAGCTCCTAAAAATATGTATTAATTGCTATATTATCACAGTTACATGGGCTGTATTACTAAATTGCAAAGTACATTTTATTTAAAAAACAAACAAACAAAAAAAAACAGGGCCTTGCATTTAAGGAATGGTAAACAAGTATTTTTTTAAACCACTCTAAGGAATCAGATAGGAACAGGTACATTACCTTGTATTTGGTCTTCAGATTGTTCCACTTCTTTTTTGCTTGCTTGGCTGCTATGGCCGTAAGATGTGTTCCTCTAATCCTTCCCTAGAACACGGGGAGCAGCAAAACCAGTCAAAATCAGTACTTGCTCCCATCAAGTCTTGCAGGAATTTCTCCTTCCTGTAAAAAGGCTCTCATTTTCCGCCCACCACTCAACGAGAGCCCGGGTTTTCTCACTTGTCCCTTGATTAAAATATAAAACATGAAATATTGCATTAGTATAATAATAATTCAAGCAAAGAAAAGCCTTTATAGGAGGGGAAAATGACAGCAAAACAATCAGGTGCTTTATTAAAAATTAATGTACATAGAAACGTAAAAATAATTTAAGGTTTTTAAACATTATATAAGATAGTATAACCTTTGTATGAACAACTGGCTATTAAAAATACCAAATTGATTTATATCAGAACCTTTAGAGATAGCTGAAAATTTCCAAATGAAATGCAGAGATTAGGCCAGCATTCAAGTGTTCTGCATCCAATCAGGATGCAGAACACTTGTGCTATTAAAAAAAAGCATGCTAAATTGCATTTTTTTAAAAAGCTGCGAAAGGTGAACCGCGTTATAGCAAGGGACCACTGTACTTTGAACTGGAACAGTACTTGCATAATTAAGACTGCAAGTACGCAAAAGTATGCATATTGAGGCAGGTCCTTCAACTGTTCTCATCCTCACTCATGTTGCTCATGTTGGTTCTTACTAGCTGCATGCTGCTTACAGCCTAGGAACGTTTTTCTTTTTTTTTATTACTTAGTTTTTAATAAAGGTTTTAAATATTTTACAACAGAAAAGGAAAACAACAAACAACCAAAAACAACAATAACAAAACAAGCAGTCAACTGAAAAGCACAGCTTTTTCCCACAAAGCAATTCTGGCAATGAGAAATGGCTTTATATTCATGAATTGACAGCAGATCTACAGATGTAAGAGCAGCCTAGGAGAGGCATACAGAAGTTTATATAGATGTGAGTAGGCTAGGAACATTTTTCAACCCCATGATTGATAGTATAACATGAAACCTGTGGTTTTTGTATAACAACATTATATGAGAAAAATGTATGTTTTTTAATTGTTATTGTTGTTGTTTTTTAAGTTAGAAATAAAAGCTCTTATTTCTTAGTTACCATAAGAAAAAAAAATAATGCTGCCACTGTATGATCACATACCTGTTTGAACTTTTGAAGAAAGACTTTGTCAGCATTGTGTTGCAGGAATGTAGATTAGTCTTTTGTTAACTAAGAAAAACAAGTAGAGTCACCCCAACCCTGAGGCCTGAATGTTGCAGTTGCGTAACACACTGTTGATAATGAGGTGTGATGTTGTCTTTGTACCTGAATAAATAGAAAACCCAGAGTAAGAGCAAGTCCAGTGTCCTCTTTGCATAGGCTTATGAAGTCACATCTACCTGACACTCTCAGGACCACAACAGCCACACAGCCTTTTAGCTGATGATGGTGGAGGTTTGGCTTCAAATCTCAGGTAAGCAGTCTAAGAGTAAAAGATGGTTTGATATGTGACGTTCACGTGGCCTTTAACGTAGGATGTCACACAGAGAGCTGCTTGGTGACAAACTGAGTTATTTAAGATTCTTCACACAGACCTGATGATGTCAAGACAGTTTCTGCACTGCAGTCCTTGTCTGAGTGATCACGTGATTGCTGATAGGTTCCCACATGAGCTCCTGTCTCTGTACCTGTGGAGCTAATTATTAGTGATGGTGTTATTTACACCTATGAAGTCTGAGGTCACATGACCAATCATGCTTGATCCTTGCGATGTGATGAATGTCACAGTGATGAACTCTACTTCATCAATAACAAAGATGATCTGAGGCTGCTGCCCAGCTCCCGTTAAGCTTGTTAACTCACAGATTACCATCAGGATCCGCTCTCTGGCTGACAGTCAGGGGGCGGGGCTTGCCCCAATCTAACAACGCCCCCTGACCTCAGCTACACACTGTGTGTGTCAGTGCGCCTGTTTGACCAGCTTTATACGTTTCAGACACTGTGAGGACATTTGACCACACTGACAGGCTTGTGTCTGTGTGATTAAAGTGGATTAGTGTGTGCTGGGGAGCAGTAGCAGTTGGAGGCGAGCAGCAGGCGGCTGGCAGCTCTGACATGTGAGTACATTTCTGTCTGTTTCCATTCAGTCTGCAGACAGGAAGTAAAAGCAGACTTTTATTTTTTGAGTCACAGGTGTGTGTGTGTTGGGATTGAGTTTTTCTGAGTGCTGTAGAGTTGAGCTGCAAATAAAAAGGCTGCAGAAAGATTCCGAGTTTGCTGTAACCGTGTTTTACACTCAGCTGAATAAAGAACAAGACGGTGCTGAATCTTGAGAAAGAAAACCGAGCAGCTCAATGTCTGTTTGGTCAGTTTGAAATATCTACATCAAACTGTGGTCTCACCCTCAGCTGTCCGTCTGAAGCACAGATAATCAATAGACTAAATAAATCCATTACTTTCCTCTGTGTTAAATCCAGTAAAGTGAAACACACTCAGATCTGCTGCTGTTTTTCTATCTTTGTGAGGTTGTTTATTCTCACCTCAGGGGTCAGAGGTCATGACGGTATAGGTTATGAAAGCATCGTGTCACTGAGGGTCCTTACAGAGGCAGACAAACGTGCGTGTTGGTGCTTGGTACTGACAGCCGTGCTCTGTGAGCCTCTTTGTTTCAAACACATACTCAGGCTGACGGCTGGTCATGTGACTACAGCACAGAGACATCATTATCATTTTACTCGCTCTGAGATGATGATCAATAATCTGATCAGTTCCAGTGATCTGAGGTTTTGCTGTTTGAATGGTTTGATGTCTTTGCAGTGAATACTTTTAAAAGATATTTATTGATTAATGTGCTGAAATGGTTTATGGATTATTTATTGATGTTTTATTCTCTAGTTTTCATTTCCAGTGCCATGTCTGTAGAGCTGCTGTGTTATTTTCAGCAGTCACCTGAGTGTCTGTGAACGCAGCCTCGGTGTAGCAGGAGTTTATCAGCAGGGGGTCTGGACTCCATCCAGGTCGTCACACCTTCCCTTCAGCTGCTCTGTCACCTTAAGTCCAGGTTGTCACGACTACAGAGTGCACCCGGCAGCCGAAGCAGATTCCTTTATTCCAGAGCGCTGTTGCTGATGTCCCGTTTACAATAACTTTAATTAACTGTTAACTGTCAGGAAGCACTCCACCAAACCGCTTTGCTCAGAACGTGTTGGATGCACGACTGGACCTCAGCTCTGCACGCGACACAGCTGACCATCAGATTGAGCCGACTCTGTGAGCGTTTCAGGTACAATGGTTTAAATCGCGTCTCACACAAAGAAGTATAAAGGAGTATTAAGACCACATTAAAAAAAAAAATATTGGTGACAGTTTTGAGATTAAAGACATAATTCTATTCTTAGGAAGAAAAAAAAGCAGAAAAATGTATAGATTACAGCTGTTTCAGGACAAAGCGCCACGGCTGCTGTAGCCTCTGAGGTAGTGAGGTCGTACTTCAGGATCAGTTTTAGTTAAAGGAAGAAAATGATTTGAATTTCAGCTCTGGGACACGATCAGCATGACGACGCTGAAGAGTTGGTCAGCTTTACGCAAAATCCAACAGATGTGAGATCATCGATGGTCACAGCCTCGTGCAGTATACAGGATAGATGTTGTATCACAGCACGGCTGATCAGTTGGTTTCAGTGACTCATCTACACGAGGCGTGTTTAAGAGGGGAAGCAGCTGTAGCAGTTTTGCTTGAAACAACTTTTCTCAACATTTAGACTTTATTTTCAAAATGATAAACAATATTTGTTTTTCCTAATGTCACCCCAATACTTATCACTACTTCGATACCCACACCTCACTAAATCCTGTTTTTCCACCTGAGAGACATCATTAAGTTGAGCTTTGTAGCTTCTAAAGAGGAGCTTAGGGTGCTTTCATGTGCTCCTTACTCGATAAAACAGAGTCCAAAAGCACCCACTACTGATGTCTTTTTATCTACTTTTTAAATGTTCTGTTATCTTAAATTTGTTTTCTATGAAGCATTGACTCTTGTGAATTGTATCTGTGGAAAACACCATATAAACACTAATGGTAGCATTAACTACAATCTGAGAGGGAGAAACTTTTCCCACCTACCTCTGAAGTACTCCAAAGTACCTGTAAAATAACGAAAAGGTACTCAGGACTTAAAAATTGTGAGAGTTCTGCTTTCCTTTAAAGCATCCAAGTGTTTTTCCTTTGTTTTCCGGTACCTGCACTTTAAGTATCACCATGAATCAGTAAGTACTTTTCTCAGGCTGTATCCGTATTTGTAATTGGGGGTGAGCCACAGGAAGACACAAACCTCACAAACAGCGCCTCAAATTTTTAGCTTTTATCCTTAATTAGGCATCATAGTCTGTAATTCCACTTCCTGTCCTTTCACCAGACAGAGAGCGAGCTGGAGATCACAGGTGACATCATCAGCAGGTGACATCCTTCCCATGGTGCCCTGCAGCCTCAGAGGTCACCATGGAAGACCAGTCTTTCCCAGAATGCCAAGCTCAGGAGCTGTTTGATGAGTTTGTATCAGCATCAACCTGCAGGGCGGCGCTGCGCTCCTTCAGCCAGCTTTGTGAACATCTGCAGCTGGACCCGAGCACTGCCGAAAGGCCACTGTACCGACCGATTAAACGCCGCCTTAACTACTGGAGGGCGAATGGTCTGTGGGCCAAGCTGGACCGGAGGGGGGCGCAGGAGGAGTACCAGAGGGCACGAGCCTGCAGCGATGTGACTGTACGTGCTTAAAAAAATACAGCAGGAGCTTTGGTTCAAACATACTAAGACATGTTACTCAGTCATTTTATTAGGAACACCTTACTACTTCATAGATTGACTGTTCATGGCAGAGAAATTAAAACAGCATTTATGGATTTTGGTTTTTGGTCTTTGGTCTTAAAGTAATATGACCTTGAACTGTTGATATAAGGCTTTACTTTAAGGTTAAAAAAAAAGAAGGGATGAATGTGTCTGATCGTCTGTTATCTCCTCTCTCGCTGGCCAGTGTGTTATCATTGGTGCAGGGCCTTGCGGTCTGCGAACAGCAGTGGAGCTGAGCTTCATGGGAGCTCGAGTGGTGCTGCTGGAGAAGAGGGACTCCTTCTCCAGGAACAATGTGCTCCACTTATGGCCCTTCACCATCCACGACCTGCGGGGCCTTGGAGCCAAAAAGTTCTATGGAAGGTTTTGTGCCGGCTCCATCGACCACATCAGTGAGTCAGCATTCTGCTTCTGTCTGATCAGAGCAGCCAAACCATCTAGTCAGCACTTCCCATTTCCTGTCTGCAGGTATTCGCCAACTGCAGCTTGTCCTGCTGAAGGTCGCCCTGCTCCTGGGGGTCGAAGTTCATGTCAATGTGGAGTTTAAAAAGCTGGTGGAGCCAGCAGAGGACCAGCACAGACACAGTACGGCCTAACAGTTTGAACAAAGGGGCCGCTGTATGAATAATTAAAGCCAGACAATGCTGTATGTATTGCTAGAAGAAAATGGAAGTGTGTTCACAGCTCACAGTTGCAATTTTTACATGCGAACTGAGTTAAACTGTCAGCCAAAGTGACAATGGGGGTGTGTCTGTGAAAGTTCTCAGTCATCCAGGTCATCGTAGTCAAAGGAGCTTGCAAAGAAAAGCGTCTGGACTTCTTTAAGTTACTTGAAGACGTTTCACCTCTCATCCGAGAAGCTTCTTCAGTTCTAAGGTCAAATGGTGGAGAGTCCCAGATATAAAC